ACCAACCACGACCATCAGAACCACTACGGCTACGGCCACGTCCACTAGAATAGCCTTCCCGATCAGTAGACTGCCAATTCTGAGTAGCAAGGGCAGAATGGTCCTGGCTAGCTGCAGAAGTTGCAGAGGATGGTGCAGAAATAGCATTCTTCAGAAAATGATACGTCTCAGCAAGGGAACTTACAGCGGAACTTCCCATTATTTGTGGACAGGCTGTGGAATAAGCAGGATCAAGAGTGTCCAAATAGGTGAGAACCATCAAGCGATTCCACTGACTCTGCATCTGCTTGATATCCCCAGTAATGGGGAATATTTGGCGAAGCTCCTCAGCGAGGCGATTGAACTCGCCATAGTGGTCATCCATGTTCTTGCCATCTTGTTTCTTTCTAAACAACTCCTGAATAACATCATACGCCCGGTTGACGTCACTTCGACCACCATATAAATCAGCCAGAAAGGCCCAAAGTTCCTTCACAGTAAGACAGTGAAGAACGAGATCCTGGATCTTGGATTCCATAGAAGTCAAGAGCTGATGTAGAAGAACATTGTCATCAAAAGTCCAAGAGTCAGATATCGGAATAGGAGGATCCGCCAACAAGTGACTAGTCTTTCCACGACTGGCCACATAAATCTCCACTACTCGCTTCCACTGCAGGTAGTTATTGCCATCAAGTTTCCGGTCAGTGATCCGACCAGAAAATAACTCAGAAACTCTCGTCTGAATCAGAGAATCAGCGGGCTTAGTGGAATCAGAACCAGCCATCAGAAAACAGACGAAAAGAAAGGACCCTCCACAGAACAGAACAGATCAGGTAACTAAGATCAGATACAGTGACTGAACATTAGTCCAAAATAAAAAAGGAACGGCTCAGATCATTCCAGAGTTGAGATCGGGGCTAGGGTTCCTGGGCGCGTCTGGATGCGATGGAGAGCTAGGGCTTGTGGGCGCATCTGGATGCGATGGAGGCTAGGGCAGGGGTGCGGGCGGATGATTGGGAGCGTGGCGACGGTTTGCTGGAGATGGTCTGCGTCTGGTGCAGCCGGTGGCTGACTGGATGTGGGGCGAGGCGCCGGTGGGTAAGCTGAGAGGCTGGCGATGGCAGTGCCGGCTAAGAGACGTCGAAGTCGTTTGGGCGGGGGCGGGGCTGAGCGAGGGGATGCGAGCTGGCGGGCGGTGCTAAGAGGGTGGATGCGAGTGCGCGGCGGCGGCTGAGGATAGGTAGGATGCAGGTGCGGGCAGGCGCGTGAGGGTGGCATGCGCGGATGACGTGGTGCGGGCGAGGGGCTGAGAAGGACGAGACGAAGAGGGCGGCTGCGGTCGGTGATCTAGGCGGTTTTCATGGTACGACGTTTCTTTTTTTTAATTTAACTTGCTCTGATACCATGTTAAATATTATAAGTAGAGATTTAGAGAAGAAAGAGTTATAAAGATTAGGCGCTCTCATTCACTCTAGTATATATAGTTTCAAAGGCATAACAAGTCTGCCGTCCCAACAACCGATTGTGCCCGCGACTAAACCAGCCACTAATCCGTTATTACATATTATCCTCAACAAAACAGTACTTTGCAAACATTAACAAGTTACTCGGTAACTCAGATGGCACTGCAAGGTTGCTGTTATCCATGCAAGAGCTAGCCCATTTGGATTCATTCAGTGTTTCGCTTGACGAGCGGCATTCCTTGTATAAAGGAGAGGATTTGTTTGAGAAGGATATGAATTTTAGAGCTGACTGAGCGTGAATATTTAGATCTGAATGGTTAGGAATAAAGGGAGAGGCTTTAGTCATGAATTACTAGGCTTCAAAACCTCGCGGCTTTACACCCTATGCCCAACACAAGCAAATTTCACATGCTCTAGAGCAGAATTTTCAAAACTAAAATTTTATTCATAATGCATCCATCTTCTCAACATAAGGCTTACATCTTGATGAAAGAAACAAAAGATAAACTCATAAGGAAACAAGAAATATTAAATCTCAAAGCATCCTTCCAATCTTAACGAAACAAAATAAAATACTTAACAGCATCAAATCTTGAAAGATCCTAAAGATCTTAAAATTAAATCCAAAGTAGATCCTACCTAAAAATAAAGATTGCCATCAAATTATTTCCAAAACATAAAAAAGATATAATATAAATCCTAATAGTCTAAGTTCAACGATCCACGATTGTCCCGCATCTGATTATCTTTAATGAGAAGCCCACACAAAAATTCATGCGTATACATACAAAATTCTATATTTAAAAAGCATTCTTTATTTTACTGCATCGCGAACTTTTATATATCTTATTGGATATTACAAGGTTTATCAACAAACTAAAATTTTTCGATAATTTGCTTTAAAGGACCTATAAGGCCACCACTATTTAAAGCGATCACTCCATTCTTTTGCATGAAAGCGACTTCAATATACATCTGCCATGATATATCAAGCAAAACTAATTTCTCAAACTTGCCACAATTAGGTATGCACCTTTTATAGTGGAATACTGACAATCATGGACTCTTCATGTTTGCTAACATTTAATATATGTAATTGCTTGTGTCTGAGAGGGTAATAAATAACCCAATAAAGAGTATTCCATGCTAGCATATCCCTTACTTCTAGACTTTAGTTGATCAAAGAAATCCCCAACCATTCTGTGAGCAGAACAGAAAAACATTAGAACAAAACATACCAAATGCTGTCACACTATAAGATGATTAGTCTGTCAGAGATTATCATATATTACACTATTTTAACCCATCAATATAAAATTTTAAATAGTAGCATAATTAGGATTTTGGTGGTCCTTTGGCACCAAAGAACAAGCTATCTGTTTTGTTATAGAAGTTTGCGACCTTTATAGGGAAAAAAGTTGGTTGACTTACTTTCCATATTTCAAGTATGGAACTAGATGATAAGATCCTGTTGGACAACTCAATGATATGATATAACAGGGAAGTTTACTTCGCCAACTGGGTAACTCATAGATGATTGACGCTCTGTTCCCTCTGCTGATATAGTTCATTTGTTTGAACACGCGCTCTTCTGTCTTAGACCCAAGGCATCCATAAGAGGCCCCCATTATTACTCTTTTTGGAGCTGAACATTTCTAATCTAAATAAAGCTAAGCTTTGGAATATAACAGACATATGCTTATTAAATGTTGACCAAAATATAACTAACAGCTGTTAAGGAAGAAAAACATTATATTAGCAACCTTGATAAATGGCCTCTTCAATTGACCTTCTTTTTCCAGGTTCAGGAAAGAGCTGCTGGGATTTGAGCACTTCATATCTGTACACAACCAAGATATCAAGCATTGTGCGTCATACTTTATAGTCAGCACAACCTTACAACAAAAGAAGTGCTTCCAACAAAATTTGTTACCAAACAAAGTGCCCAATTTATTAGAAACTTATTCTCAACAATATTTTTATTCAAAAATATCATATGCTCCTTCTTTCCCTAAAACTTAGTTATATATATAAGCAATGCTCAAGGTGCACTTTCTTCTGCGCAACATATAAAAACTTAGCATGCTAGTCCTTCTTAAGTAGTTGTTGTTAAACCAACTGCGAAGATAAAATGGAAATATCAGCACTAACTAGACTGGTTGGGAACTTAGAAAGTTTGCCGACAAAAAAAGCATCAAAATCCCCTTAAATTACTTGGTGCAACTTTCTCATACCCCCCCCCCCCCCACCACCACTCTCTTAAGTATAAATTATACCTGCTTTTCCCCCTTAAGCTATGTATTCCCCAACGTGGTCATTTTGTCAGACCTCATCAGACAAAATATTTAGATATTAGTGACCTGATAGT